AAATTGATCCCTTTTTTTCAGTATCCCGACCTTCTTTAATGATGGATCACCATTCAATTCAGAATCGGAGCTATTCGATTAAGTATTGCCTTTGCTCTTCGAGTGTTTACCTCCCTTTGAACAAGCCAAAGCCAGAGTCTATAAAATGCATATAACTGAATTAGAATCATGAATACTTATACAAGATAAACCTAAACCAGATATGTTAGTCAAAAATACGCCTAGCAAATAAAATTTGCTAGATTAGATGCAAAACAGAGGAAAATTAAGTTGATTAAATTTACAAGAAACTGTAAACCGCAGATTTCGAGCTTATAAATAAATAAACCGGAAATAAGGTACAAAATAGAGTTTTATTGATTTAAAAAATTGGGTTACAATCTCTATTTAAAGTCCCCTGATTCTTCTCCTCCAGAGTGGTAATCTTGGAATTTTTTAATATCCGAGGTGTAATCGCCCTTTGATCTCCTCCAAATATTAATTAATAAATTAATAACGTTAATTCGGGGGTTTCGTAACTTATCCTCGAATCAAACGTTAAATCTTTAAACAACGTGCAACGAACACCTTTGTAAGATTTGATGGAATTAATGCTTTCGATTTCTTCCGCCAGGGGTTTGTACTTCAATAACGTTAATTCGAGAATTTTGTGTATAATCTCGAATTAAAAGTATATTTATTGAAGAACGTGTAACAAACCCCTTAGTATGCTCCGGTGGATTTTAGTGCTTGATCCTCCGAATGTGTGCTTTCGGATTTCAATAACGTTAATTCGAGGGTTTTATACCGTAATCCCGAATTAAGCGCTATGATTCGTATATTTCTACGACGAACGCCTTGAATGCCGCCTAGAACACCGTAGAACTTTTATGAATTCGTAGAGAGCATTTGTATATTCTCTCTTGTAATTCTTGAACTCCTCGTAATTGTGTTTAAGCTTCTACAAATGACCCCTATTTATACTTGTAGGGTGAAGACTTTTCCATACTTACTTGACGAGGTGGCAAATTATGATTGGCCCTTCATGATTTGATTAGTATTAATTCCATCAATAAAGATATGGTTATTAATACAAAATATATATTTATTTCCTTCTATAATAACCTAGATATGATTTTGGTTACTAAAAGAAATAAAACATAAAAAATATAAATTTAATTAGGAGTTAATTAACTCCTTGAGATTAAATCAATACATTTTGACACAATATGCATATACGTGTCATCATTTATTATTATTATTTTTTTTTATTTTTTTATTTTTTTATATGTCTACAAATGCCCCCTCGAGACTTGTTCACAACAATGGAGTGAATAAGTCACGACATAATTTAATTGGACTTGCAAACGTGTCTACGGGCTTTCGGTCTTTACATGCGGACTTATAGCTCGTACACAGACATTAAGAATCGAGGCCCAACAACTCTTCTATTTTTATTTATATTTCAATAGAAAAATTAGACCTCAATCTTGGACTTATTTATTTATTATTATATTTTTTAAGCAAACCGAATTATGGTATTTCACGTGCTTGTGCTCCCACAAGGGAATAAGAATATTTTAATACCATCTAGTTTCCTTCTCTTTTTTTTTGATGAGCAGAACCTCTGCTTCCTTTCGTTCACTTTTCTTTTTTTCTTTTTTTTTTTTTTTTTTTTTTTTTTTTTTAAAGTGCTACTTCTTCGATCACGAAATTCCCATAGGAACGAGATTTCCTTCCGTATATCAAATTTTGAGGGAGATAGTATTTCCATCGAGGACGAGTACTTCCATCGACGATGTTCGACTGCAACTATAAAAGGGTGCTCAAGACCCTACACCGACTCATAGAAATTCCAGAATATTCATCCTCCGCTTTTTTTTTTTCTTATTGTTATCTCGATTTTGTTCGAGACTTGAACTGGTAAGGGTTTCGAATGTTAACATCGACAATAACTCTTCCATTCTTATACTGCTCACCAGGTGTTCGTTAATATGCCCCAGAGAAAGAATTATATCTTCTCTACCTTGTAATCTCCTTTTGCCCTTTAACCCATCTATATTTTTTTTGTAGGTACAATATTCAAGGTTTCACCAGGAAGGCTTGAGTAAGTTCCAGAATTTGTAGATATTCAGAACAGTAGGTATATGTTCATAACACCCCTTTTTTTTTTTTTTTCTTTTTTTTTTTTTTTTTTTTTTTTTTTAACTTATTTGTCCCCTCCGTTCGGACTTCGGCATGCAGGTCATGGTGTACTTTAAAGACACACGTTCCCCCCTCGGTGTCGAACAGTTGGTGGTACTTGACGACGAACGCCAACCACTAGATAAAGGCACTACTCTGGTGGTTCACACTCCTTTAATCGGTAAATATCCAATGCAATGGCCTCGATTGACCAGTACGTATAATATAAACGAATGGACACACGAAGTCTCTTTGAGCAAAACTCTGAAGGTGTGGACCTTACAAACGTCCCATCACAAATATTCGGATGAAATCGTTCATTTGCCGACGCTGGGCCACAACATCATCAAGGGCAAGGCTATGTGGGGAGAGTCTCTTCAGTTTACCGGTGAATTTCACTACACACCAGGGTATTGGGAATGGACTGAAGATGTACTTAGCAGGTGCGAGAGTAAGTTAATTAGCGCGCAACTATATGACGCGGTGTATGCGTCCTTGTTTACATATGATCGAAATTCCGAGATCATTAAGGCATTTTGTGAAGCCTGGTGCCCGACGACAAATACTCTTTTGACGTCTCTTGGTGAACTATCCTTGTCATTATGGGATTTAAATACTCTCGCAGGTCTTCCTTTGACCGGACTTCTTTACGACGAAGTTATTCCTTGTGCCGAAGAGCTTTGTGGCATTGATGCAACCGGATCTAGGTATCTGCCTCGTACTTGCAAACATTTGCTCTATGTTTACCATTTACTTCGAAAGAAAGCTGACGATAACTCCCAAGTCTCAATTGAGAAATGGATCAAATTTTGGTCTAAGAAGCAACTGAAGTATCATCAGCCTCCTCTTCGTAAGGAGAGAAAAAAAGTTCGTCCAAAATCTACGCATAATCCTCTTGGCAGCTTTGATGCTCACGATGAATGGGATACATCGGAGAGAGAGTTATTTTCGAAGCTCAAAATTGGCAATGATTTGAGAACTGAAACGTATTTATCAGCATTTCTCGCTTGCTGGCTCTGCACTTTTGTTCTTCCGACTGATAACCCCGACACAATACGTCCGTCTACTTTCAAGATGGCTAGCCTGATGGCGAGTGGCCGTAAAGTAGGTTTGGCTGTCCCGGTCTTAGCGAGCATATACAAGGGTTTAAATAAAATCTCAAATTCTCCGAGGCCAACTCGCGTAAGTTCCCCATTTCCCATCCACTTTGTCTATGGCTGGTTGGCACATTATTTCAAAACTCACTATCCGGTTTGGCAAGGAGTGCGTGGCCCTAAAATGACGACTTACTCTGGCGAGGGTGGTGCGAAATATTATGACTCGAAAGAAGCACGCAAACGGATTCACAAAGGAGATTTTGCATCTTGGACTTGTACTATGATCACCAAAAGCAAAGATTTTTTGTATGTTGATAATGCCAACGGTGACGAGTTAGAACAAAATTATTTCATTGCGATGCGTTCGAACTATCTCCCTCTGCGTCGAGGCGAGGAATTTATTATCGAGCCTTACAGTCCACATCGATTTAGTCGTCAGTTTGGCTACTACCAGGATGTCCCCGGTGTTCTTGTGCGAGATATACGCAGAGTTTCTTTAGAAGAAGGACTCCGACATTGGCGTTTATGCATTTTATCTAAATCCATGTCTAGAGCGTGGTTTTCTTCTATGCCTCCGAATGCGAAACGATTTACCTCCGAAGACTACAAAAAATGGTGGACTAATACCTTTGGTAGCTATCTTGATAATAATATCGCGAAGCTGATTAATGTGGACGAGAACAAGCCTGTGTCGAAAGAAAAACTTTCCGAGATAGAAGAGAGTTTACCAACTCCATCTGACGTGGCAGCCCGAACTACAACACCTCTTGCAGGAAGCAAAATTAATTCTCGCCCATTGGAAGAAAGTGGTAGTAGTAATGTAGACCGTCATTGGAAGCGATCGAAGAAGGATCCTCGACCTTCAGAACTTGGACATATCGATAATGCAGTCACCAGCCCTCTGCAGACAGTGGATACTCATGTTAATGAGGTAACTATTTTTTTTTTTTTTTTTTTTTTTTTTTTTGTATAAGCTCATATTTTCTCGTGCAGTTAGAAAATGAGGCCATGAACGTTGTCGATGTCGATGGGTCACAAGATAGTCCAAAGTCAATGATAGGTCCCAACTCGATTACGGCAACTGTTTCGGTTGAAGCATTGACACGTAGACCTCCATCTGAAGTGGCCATCGCTGCACAAAGGCCACGTCCTGCTGCTGTTTCCGTATTTGAAGGCGAAAAATTCGTTCTTACTCACGAGAAGGAGTTTCTTCGAAAATTGTGGGGGGATCTTCGCATCAAGATAGTCAATACCCCCGTCGAGTTCATTTCATCTATTCAAGATAATGTGGAAATCGTGCTCCAATCAATGAAGCGCTTTAGTGATTTTGATATTACTCACGTGGAGGGATTAGTGAAAACATTATTCGAAAATGCGGCAGCCTATGATGAAGCAAGGTCTATGTCGTCAGAGAAAGCACCTGAAGAACTTCTTGCACGACAACTTCAAGTGGTTAAGGATCGTCTTCTTGGCGCTCAAACTAAAGAGAACAAAGAAAACGCTCAAGTTCGAGCCACAAAAAATGAATTGGAGGGCATCCAAAAGCAGCTACACGCGTTGAAAGGACAAAAGAAGAAGTTGTCGTCATCACTGAAGCGACAACAAGAATCTCTTAACTGTGTCCATGCTGAAGTTTGCGGAATCATGGAAGAGATCACTGCCATTGAGAACACTTCTCCGTTGAGCCATGACATGATTGAGAATGTGAAGATTTCAATGGAGCATTTGGAGGCCACCAAGGAAGAATTGAAGACTTTAGATCCTTTCGCCTGAGTCTAGGATTTTTTTTTTTTTTTTTTTTTTTTTACGAACATTGTTATGCTCGAGATTACGTAATAAAAAAATCTTTCTATCTTGCAGATTTTGTTATTATTATATTTATTTTGTGCGCATAAGATGACTTTCAACGAGAGATCATGCTTGATTTCACGAAACAACTATATCTTCCGTTTATGCTCGTAATCAAACAAATTATAACATAGCTCGAGCAAATGATTTGGAACAATTTTTTTTTTTTTTTTTTTTTTTTCGGTTTGACTGAACTTAGAATATGGGTCTAAGCTGCCTACGTACCCTTCTAAAAGGGATCAAGTCATAACATAGTTCAAGCGAACAACTAAGAACATTTTTTTCTTTTTTTTTTTTTTTTTTTTTTTGATTTGACTGAACTTAGAATATGGGTCTAAGCTGCCTACGTACCCTTCTAAAAGGGATCAAGTCATAACGTAGTTCAAGCGAACAACTAAGAACATTTTTTTTTTTTTTTTTTTTTTTTGGTTTGACTGAACTTAGAATATGGGTCTAAGCTGCCTACGTACCCTTCTAAAAAGGATCAAGTCATAACGTAGTTCAAGCGAACATGCAACATCAATTCACCATGTTCTTTTCCTCGAAGGTAGATGTCCCTTCAAGGGTAATAACGCTTCAAGAATTTGCCATTTATGGGGCCGATTCGCAATCCATCATTGTCCACCAACTTGTAGGCGCCGCTCGTGTAAGCTTCCTTCACCACATAGGGGCCGTCCCATTTTGACGTGAATTTGTTCCCCATTCGTTGGGTGAGGGTAATTGGCCTTCTTACTGCGAGAACCAGATCCCCGACTTGAAATGATCGAGGGCGGACCTTTTTGTTGAACGCTTTAGACATGCGGGCTTGATAGCATTCAAGCTGTTGCTGAGCTTCCAATCTCTTCTCATCTAACGCCTCCAATTCTTCAAGTCTAAGACGAGCATTATCTTCGGCGGTTAGTCCCTCTTGTACGGCAATACGAAGTGAAGGTATTTGGCTTTCAAGTGGAAGGATAGCTTCTACCCCATAAACCAAGGAGTACGGAGTGGCTTGAGTGGCAGTCCGATATGTCGTCCTATACGCCCATAGAGCTTCCCCAACCCTCTCGTGCCAATCCTTCTTTGACTTTGAAACTACTTTCTTCAAAAGATTGCACAAAGTTTTGTTGAACGCCTCCGCTAGACCATTTGCAGCCGCATTATACATTGAAGAGTTATGTTGCTTAAACCCGAATTGCACACATAACTTATCCATCAACTTATTGTAAAACGGCCGCCCATTATCGGTAACGATGTATCGAGGTATTCCATATCTAAAGATAAGATGGGAACGAATGAATTCGACCACTGTTTCTTTCTTTACTTCCTTCAAAGGAACTGCCTCTGCCCATTTGGAAAAGTAGTCAGTAGCTGCCAATATATAAGCGTGACCCCCAGACGATTTAGGAGAAATAGGTCCCACGACGTCAAGACCCCACGAATCAAATGGCCATGAAGCAACTGTAGGATGTAAGGGCTCCGGAGGTTGGTGTATAAAGTTCGCATGTAATTGACAAGCTTCGCATCTTCTTGCATAATCCAAGCAATCTTTGACCATTGTAGGCCAATAATAGCCCATTCTTTTAATTTTGAAGTGTAGCTTCGGACCTGACTGATGAGCACCACAAACCCCGGAATGTGCTTCCATCATTGCTTCAGTTGTCTCTTCACCGTGCAAACATCGTTGGTAATTGCCTTCGAATGACCGCCGATAAAGCGTATCCTTGTAAAGGATGAAACGAGGCGCTCTTTTTCTAACTTCTGTCTTATGACGAATTTCCTCGGGTAACTCTCCATTTTTCAAGTAGTTGATCAATGGTTTTCTCCAATCTTGATCATCACTAATTGAAATTGATGTAGCGTTAGCGTCTTCATGACTGACTTCAACGAACGATGGTATGATCCAACGATTACACACAGGAACACTTGTTGTTTCTCCTTCCGACAGAGCTAAAATGGTTGCTAGGTTAGCTAGCGCATCAGCCATCCTATTATCTTTTCTCGGAATATGATTCAACACGATCCTCTCAAACTTCGCCACCAAGTCCGAAGCGTGTCGACAAAAAGGAATGAGGTCCTCTTTCCTAACTTCGTATACTTTCAAGAGTTGATTGATAACCAATTTCGAGTCACCATAAACTTCAATCTCCGTAATTTTCATTTCTAAAGCCATTTCAAGGCCAATGATCAAAGCTTGATACTCGGCCACATTATTGGAGCAGAGCTCACCCAGTACCACCGAGTATGTCAAAACTTGTTTCTCGGGTGACACGAAAACAACTCCTGCCCCCGATCCATCAGACCGGGCGGCCCCGTCAAAGAACATTTCCCACGCCGGAAGAACTTCGGTAAAGAAAATGCTTTCATCAGGAAAGTCATCGGACAGTTCCCATTCCGCTGGAATAGGATGGTCGGCTAGAAAATTAGCTAGCGCCTGCCCTTTAACAGACTTTTGAGGCACATACATGATCTCGTATTGATTAAACATGATAGACCACTTTGCCAATCTTCCAGATAACACTGGCTTTGACATCACAAATTTGACCGGGTTTGCACGTGAGATGAGTCGTATGGAGTATGCTTCAAAGTAATGCCTCAATTTCTTAATCGCGTAGAACAATGCCAAGCAAATCTTTTCCACCGGGGAATATTTTAACTCATTCTCCGTTAGAGTTCTACTCAAGTAATACAAGGCGCACTCTTTGCCGCTTTCATTTTCTTGCGCCATAAGAGCACCAACAGACCTTTCCTGAGCTGCTATGTACAATATGAGTAGCTTTTCGGGTATAGGAGCCCCTAGGACAGGCGGATTTAATAAGTACTTCTTTATGCTTTCAAAAGCATTTTGACACCCTTTGTCCCATTCGAAAGGTGCATCTTTCTTCATGAGGTGATTGAATGGTTGACATCTTCCAGCGAGATTTGATATAAACCTTCTTATGAATGCAAGATTACCTTGTAAACTCCTCAACCCTTTCAAATTTCTAGGCGCGGGCATCTTTTGAATAGCATCTATTTTAGAGGGGTCAACCTCTATACCACGATGACGGACTATGAAGCCAAGAAACTTGCCGGAAGAGACACCAAAAGCGCACTTAAGAGGGTTCATCTTTAAGTTGTATTTTCTCAAGCGTTCGAATACAATCCGGAGGTCTCCCAAATGGTCATCTCTCTTCTTTGTTTTGACAACGAGGTCATCAACATAACACTCCACTCTTTTGTGTAGCATGTCGTCAAATATGTTTTGCATGGCACGCTGGTAGGTGGCTCTTGCATTCTTTAGTCCAAAAGGCATCACTTTGTAACAATAAATTCCTTTTGGTGTGCGGAATGCTGTGTATTCTTCATCTTGAGGAGCCATTCTAATTTGGTTGTAACCGGAAGAGCCATCCATGAAAGACAATGCTTCATGTCCAGTTGTAGCGTCAACCATGAGTTCGATGATAGGTAATGGGAAATCATCTTTAGGACAAGCCTTGTTCAAGTCTCGAAAATCAACGCATACACGTATCTGACCATTCTTTTTTTTGACGGGTACAATGCTAGAAATCCAAGTCGGGTACTTGACTTCTCTGATAAATCCAGCTTCTATTAACTTGTTGACCTCGGACTCAATTCGAGGTATTAATTCGGAACGAAGTATTCGTTGTGATTGCTTCACTGGACGTGCTCCATTTCTTATACCAAGGTGATGGATTGCAATTTTGGGGTCCAACCCGGGCATTTCTTTGTACGTCCATGCAAAGACATCTTTGTATTCACTTAAAACCTCAAGATATTGTTGTTCCTCTTCAAGACTCAAAAGCGCACTTACGAATATTGGACGATGGTCTTCCATTGTGCCTAGGTTTAATTCCTTCAACTCATCAACGGTGGCTTGTCCCCCATCCTCAAGTTGTAGAGGCGCTTCTGGTATTTCATCTTCGGAAACTTCTTCGTGGTCATCAACAATACTTGCATAATGAGTGCTGACCGTGACCTCGACTTCGTGTCCACTTTGATCGCCATTTTCTTTAGAAACATGGTGCTTGATGATGCGCTGTTTCACATTTACTGCTCCATTCATGGCAATGACTAGGAGCGGCTGATTATTTTCATGCGTTCGAAGTGTTTGGCGGCCTTGAAATTCATCCATGGATTCGAACACATGTATCTCATCCTCGCGAACCCTCTTCCCTTGTTGGTTTCGATTTTGCTCTCCAAGTCGTGAGAATACAGAACGACCCTTCACATATAGTCTATCATGAACAGCCGAAGTGTTATTCGAAGGGCCAAGTCTTTCAAAGACGGAAGATCGGATAATAGGTGCACTGATTCTGTCAAAAACAGAGACACGATCCCCACTTTTCTTTTGATTTTTCTTGTTCACGACACTAATGCATTGGACACCAACACATTTCTCTTTATTTCCTATACGTATCCTAACCGGTTGTTGAGGAATAAATCCCAAACCAGTCTTAGGTTGATCGACGTGGAATCCTTGCCTTCTTAAAGCTCGTTGCGCATCATTGAGTCCATGTATCTTTTCCCCAGTTAACTCAGGTTTTAATTCACCTAGACGAGATGGATTAGAGAAGTTGTAACCGGATTTCTCCAAGAGATTGTATGATTTCGGGTCGTATGTCTCGCTAGCCTGTTGATGTTGGAGTGTAACACGAGACATCTTCTCTTCAGCCAATGGGCTTAAGCCAGTAATGGGAATGATCAATTCCTTCTTCACGAGTTGGCAATTGCCTACCTCAATATCTTTTGGTCGTTCTTGTCCATTTTCCAATAGTGTAGTGCATTTACTGAACACAACCCGCCTTTCTTGGTGCGATCGAGGAACGTATCGAAACACTGGCAAGCTCAACTTCTCGCTAGACTTATGATTTTTGTTTTTCGGAGTTTCAACTGAAGTTGCAAATTCTTCGGACTTTTCGAAATTGATCCCTGTTGGCACAAGT